AAAGTTGCATTTGGATATATTCAAATTAAAGTAAGAATGATATCAAACCGTTTATTTCATAAGAGAATCCATACAATATATGTTTATAATATCTTACAACAATGTTAACAATCAAATATATCTGTCTGAACTCTGTTATCATAAGAGTGAATGCAAACAACACTATGCAATATAAACAATTAACAAATCTGGGTAATGGTTCCCTGAAAAATGGCAGCAACCAGGAAGATTAACATACTGCAAGTTATTTTCATCAGATTGAAAATGACTGAGCAGCAAGGGAGTCGTTCGAGTTTCCAAGACATTCTCATCTCATGAAAATGAGCTTTTTATTCATCATCTTTGTTACAATGTTCAACTGGTTAAACCAAAAATCCTTTGTTCTGTACCTTACACCTGTAATGTTTATATAATGTGTATACATAGATATAAGTACTTGGGGTATTATCTCTACTATTCGATTGGAAGGACCAACCTCACTTCTTACATCTCTTTAAGCTTAACCACTGATACCTAGATGCCATCAAAATGAAACATTGTGTGGTACTCTCAGTGCTACAATGTTTCATCTTGTTTGTATCATCAGTGGCTTACCCACTGAGTGTCTGGCTTGAAACACAAGTTTGTAACACAATTGTGAAACATGCAATGGCATCCGAGATTAAAATGTACCTCTGCCCATTCCCTTCCTAAATTGACCATGATGTGAATACCAGCTTGCTGTAAAGTAAATGTAGAACAAATACATGACAACTTTAAGCTGATGCTGCATAACACTAACTTGCTGAAGGGAACACCTAAAGAAGTATATTGTATGTGATCTTCCTACAGTAAGTATTACTTTCAGTGAATAAAATTCTAAAATAGTTTGCATGGGTCTTCTATCCTCCCTTCATAAATCATTAGAATTCTAAGTCTTTTCTTAGAGGTTGAATATATATATATTTTTTTTCAACAAAGTCACTCTGCTAAATGTATTATGAAAGGTATAAAAGATCCACTACTTCTCATTCTAAATACTGACAAACCTTAGCATGAAATGCAGCCTACCAGAAAAAAAAAACTTGTTTCAGCTAGCATCTGGGCATAAAATACCTTCAATATAACCCAAAGACCAGACCTGTTACCATAAAAATAAGTACTTTTAAAGCCCATCACATTAATGAGCTGTTTACAATTTTCCAATTTTCATGCTTTACAATCTGAGCTCCCGTATTTTTTTTTTTCTCATACATAAAACACTGTTAATGTTACTCAAATCTACATACACGGCTTTTCATTTGAAAAGCAATTGTAAATGACTGAAATGGAAAATGTATCATTTATGATAGTTACTTAGAGATAACTGATGAAAACTGATGAAGACTGTAAATGAAATTAAGTATTATAAGATCTGGTCTTTCACTAAGTGGAAAATAAAAATCCCAAAGTATCTTATCTAATGCTGAAACATTATGCTGCTAGGTGTTAAACTATCACAACAAGGTATATATAAAACTTAAAATTTAAGCTGTAAAAAAATCAAGAGTAGCATTGTTAATGTATTTTCAAATTTTAGTAACTAGTATGATATTTAATCAAAGTCAACGTTACTGAGCTGTAAGGTAAAATAATATATTAATTACAAACAAGCTTGTGAAACAAACCTAGTCATCTCCAATTTTATTCATCAAAAAATGCAACTGCTCAGACTAGCAATAGATGTAATGAATATCAAACAAAAGATAGGCTTGTTCCAGTAATATACGAAAACCTGAAAATAAGATTATCCTGAAAAAAGAATATTAGAGAGTACAAAATATAAAGGGTTTATATATCCTAACAACAGTAAATATCCAATCAAGAGAGATAGGGGCTACGTAATGGCAGGACAAATGGCAGAAATTCCTTCTATACCTAGCTATAGTGCCCTGAAAACAATGGCACTACCTATGACATCTCTATTAAAGACAATGACAACAGTTTCTAAATAATCTCAAGGATAATCACACATTAAAACAATTCGAGAGATTATGAAATAAAAACTCTAGGTAAAGACAAAGACAAAGTGGGAAAGAGAATGAGAGACAAAGAGAGAAGAGAGAGACAAAGAAAGAGGGGGGAAATCAAACTCGTGAGCAATAACGTATGTTTGAAAAATGGAAGGGTATCGTTTCCGATTCACACAGACATACTGTATGAGGTAAGCTTTGCCTGTTATGTATAAAAGAACAGAGAACGAGGCACTTTTCATCTGTGGTATTTCCTTTGCAAGATGATAATAATAAAATTGTGCAACGCATACAGGAAAATCTAAAGACACTATTATAGAGAAAGGAAAAACTACACTTGCTGATACATGTAATCATCTGTACGGGCAAAGAGTAACATCAGAAATTAAGAAATAGCTCACAATAAATGCTGTGTGGAGAGAAAGTCCAAAGTGATCAGGTGGGGGTGTAGGGGCAAAGCCCTCAAGTTAGGAAGGTCTATGGTTCATACCGCAATTTTTGTGGCTGAA